AATCATCTTCTAAACATCACCAAAAGTATTCAAATACAAAATTCTCTTTTAAAGCCATTTACAGTAGTCCGCGTACTTTAAACATCAACTTTCCGATTCTTAAACAGAAATTTCGGGATCAGCGTAGAACAAAAACAGCCATAATTCTGCTTCTAACAAAAGTGTTTTTAAAAAGCTTTATGTATACGCTTAAAAACAAAACAATAAAATTCTTTTGAAAATTTCGTCGGAATTGACGATTGAAACGTAGTCGGTTACCTTAATATTTTTAATAGGGTAAATTAAGTTGCATTTAAGGCTGCTCGATAAAATTTTACGCGATCCAATAAGTCATGTGGAGAATGAGTAGACAGATAAGAATGCCGTGAATTTCCTTTATGTCGACAGACTTACTGTCTGTCTACGAAAAGAAAAGCTCCCACCACAGTGTCTGCCGGGTGCCGGTCGCTATAGCAACAGGGCTAGTATATTTCAAATAGGAGTTGCCAATTCATGTTTAAATATGCCAAGATGGCAAACTGAAAAATAAATCTTCAAGATACCCCTACGGAAGATGGGTCAAGTCTCGTTTCTACGGCAACAGACAGCTGCAGACTAACTGGCGAGAGCTTTTCTTATGATGACAGACTGTAACTTACCTGCTCCATTTTCCCGTCTGAGCTGAGCCTCACTGTCTTGTGCACATTCTAGCATGTTTGGTTATCGTTTGCCCCGCAATACCCAATTTCACTGATAAGCTAACGGCCGGAGATCTGCGCAGAATTTGGAAGAATAATAAAATGTTTTAAATTGTACACTGCGGGGTGGGGACAGTTCTATAGCTCCCGTTCTACTGCACCGATTGACGACATTAAAATTGCGATTTCCATGTCTCGAAAGTGCGACTTAGGATATATATTAGATTTATATATAGCAATTGTTCTAACATAGGTATTTTGACACAAATCGGACTTTTTTCTGAAATAACATACCAATTTTTTTCCACATTTCGATTCTACAACTCGAATTATCCCAAGATATTACATTTCGTTATTTTGGGTGAGAAATTTATGGAGAAATTCAAAAATTTATCTTGGCGCATTTTTTTAAAGTTTGAGCCAAGAATAATTCCTTTGGCAAACTTCGTAATTTATCGCAACCTATTTTCCTCTCCTTTTTTTTTTCATTATCCAAGAGCGCAAAAAAGTCATCGCTCATACTTTTATATAATTTTAACAGAGTGCATAAACTACATTTTCGTCATTATCGCTTATAACAAATACGCCAAATTTCAAAACGGGCCAAAATGTAATTTCACGTATACCTTTGGAAATTGTGAATGAAAAACTCTTCTTTTTCTTTTCTTTTTTTCCTTTTTTTTCTTTTCTTTTCTTTTCTTTTCTTTTTTTTTTTTTAAATCAAGGTATGAAATACATTTATTTTAAGATGATGGTAAGGTTATAATTCAATTTTAAATTATTTAAAATTATTTAAAAATAAATCATAACAAATGGGTTAATTTCATTTGGCATGAACCCAAATTTTGAAATATGAAAGGAAGATTCAAATAAGTTTAATAAAAAAAAGAGATATTAATAAATACCATATATCAAATTATATTAACATTGAGAAGCTAAAATTTTGAGAGTTAATTTTTTAAAAATTACTTGTGCGATTTTTACAAAACCTGGCAGTTTGGGATAATTTGAGTCGTAGAGTCGAAATATGGAAAAATGTTGGCATGTCACTTCAGAAAAAGTCCTATTTTTGTCAAAATACCTATGATAGAACAATGCTATATATAAATCTAATACATATCCTAAGTTGCGCTTTCGAGACATGAAAAACTCAAGTTGAATTTCGTCAATCGGCCCAGTAGAACGGGATATATAGAACTGTCCCTTTTTTTTTTCAAAGTGTACATCCCCAATCAACAATGACTGATGCGGCCTGAACGAAAAGCATACAGCCAGGCACCAGCAATTGATGCGGTTTGATTTTTTAGATTTGAAAAGCTTTTTCCTAATTTTATACAAGCTTCGTTATTCATTTTCCTTTTTCTCGAATGCAAATTAATATGGTTTAAAGTAAAAGTTTTCAACATTGCAAAAGAGATATTTACTCACTTTTTAAAAATTCAGATTATGCTGCGTTGTGTTTTACAAAAGCAGTTTATCTCCCGGTTCAGCAATTTTTCATAATCAATTTCTCTATCTCTCTCTTTCGTGCGCACGGGGAAATAAAACTGAAACTTTCAGATTTTATATGATGTCCAAAGGGGTGTTTTTTTTCATTTACACATACATACACATTTCAAGAGAATTTGGGTTAAAAATGTTAGAACACAGCATATCTTTACATTTTTCGATAGAGAGTATTGCGCAGAGATAAAAATGTTTTATTCTGTACAGTGCTGCATACTGCTCACTTTGAAATCGAGTTTTTAATCTAAAATTTCTAATCTTCTGTTCTAATCCTCCTTTTACAATTTGGTCAAATTTGAAAAGAATATCATTCCTTGTTCAGTGTGCTAAGTGATGTGATGATAAAAGTTACAGTGGAACTTAAATACATGCATGGCCCTCTCTATGGCATTGGGTACCTCGTATTTTATTACAGTTATTCCCAAATAATACTGACAGCAAAATTTTGGGTCGTATTTTTCATAGATTTGGAAGCATGGCCAGAGAGCGGCACTCATATTTATTTCACGGACATATAACAAAGTGGAAGAGAGGTAAATGCATTATTAGCCATATTAATAGAGAAACATGTTTAGGCAAAGTTGTTTAGGCAAAATTGGAAAACAAAATGTTACATCTAATACCATATTATATCATACGAGTTTAAAACAGAATGAGAGAATGAACACAAAAATACATTTTAACTGCACATCTGGAATATACTTCTGTTTGTTGCAACTAAAAAAGAGGTTTTGAAGAATTCAAAATACACACCTCAATCTGGACAATAAATCCCACTCTGGATAGCCTTTCATGCAAATACAATGATATTATACACACTTTAGTGAAAATCACTCAAGAACTAATACCGAGACATTTGCAGCTAGGCTTCAAACATAATTCATCTGCATTTTCATTATTTAAAGAAACAAGAGTTGATTTTCAAGCTTGATACATAAATGTAAAAAAAAATAATAAAAGCTCAACGAGAAAGAATAAGTTGGATTGTGCGTTCGTATTCATTTTCTCTGTTCAGATGCAGCTATTTGTGGATCTAGTCATAACAGATGATGAAATGTGGATTTGGGAAAAGAAACTGAATGAGGAGCTGAAAATATGCAGATGAAGTTTTAGAACCAGTGACAACAGCTGCTGGCTTCACCGGCATTTCTTGATATAGGTGTTGATACCCTTGAAATGGAATGATTTTATTTCAGTTATTTATAATCATCAGTTAAAATATTTAACAAAAATAACATTATCATTTTTTTAGTCCAAAGGGTTTTGCCCAGAAGCATTATAAATTTTGTTTTGGCATTCTGCGTTGATTCACTATTAATGTCAGTTTACTTTTCAAATTGTTGCCACCAAATATTAGAGCCCTTTACTATATTTAAAGAAATTAAACAATGAAGAATCTGCATAAATGTATGTATGCTTCTTGTACCAATGGTACCTAGAGCCATCCAATTTTAAATAACTTACATTTCCACCCGAATATGGGCATCTGGAAATTTAAATTTAGAATCTGGAATTTGTTTTATTATCAATTTCATATTTTGTAAAACTTCAATGAATTTTTGATTAACATACACAACGATTTAAAAGCGAGTAATGGGAACACTGTACAGGGGAAAAAATTTTTTTTTAAATCTCAGCGCACGAGACTGTGTGTCAGAAATTCTATGGATGTGCTCATTTTAAAATTATTTTTGCGATATTGCTGTTGAACTGAATTTTATGGTTTAAGTGCGAAGAGCATGATATTTAATAAATAAAGGTAACACACGAAAAGATCACCCCTTTGGGCATAATGTAATATCTGAAAGCTTTCAGATTTTTTTTTCATTCTTTTTTTTTTTTTTCTTTTCTTTTTTTTCTTTTCTTTCTTTTTTTTTTTTTTTTTTGTAAAAATATAAAAATATCAAATGAAGTACACTGTGTGAAAAATTCAATGGCTTGTACGCAATTGCTAAAGCTCATTTCCTTCATCTTTCAATTAAAAAAAAAAAAAAAAAAAAAAAAAAAAAAGATCCATAAATAATCACATTTTCCTTACCTTTCATTAAAGACAATTGTTACACAAATCCCTTTCAGTGGACAGAGGCCAATTTGCATAATTCAAATGCAAAGATCAATTAAAAAAAAAATTATATACTTGCAAAAATGATAAGGTTGTTGCTCCAATAGTTGTTTCATTAAGTATAAAAATGAAAGGTTAAACCCAAATGTGTTCATTAATCCTCCAAATCTGAATATATATGGCAGGCAGACATTGTTACTATATCCATAGACACTGAGATCAATTTTGCATGAGAAAAAATAAAGAGCACTTTTTTTTTCTTTTCTTTTTTTAATGTTTTTATGAATTCTGCATCAGAAATCAGAGGTTAGATTTATGTGATGATAAGTATCAAAATAAAAGATTTGTATTCGACACTCTGTTGTGTATTAGTTCGAATCCCGAAGAAGGCATGGATGTTCGTAAATGTAGAGTGTCGGTGCCGCATGGTGGCACTCTAAATATGCGGCAAGCCAAAAGTCTTCTCGTGTGGTCTGGTGGAAGAGGAGAGGGGTAGGAGACTCTCGCTGCCCCACGGGTGCTCTCCATAAAAATTGGGGGCAGAACTGAGCCAAATCGCACTGTCACCTGTTAGGTGCTCAAGGCTGTTGCCATCGACAGGTGTAATCTAGCGCTCTTTGCCACGAGGAATTTTGTGGACTTGGGCTGATTACATCAGACAAGTGAGCATAAACAATAACAAGGTTTTTTAAAAACATAATATATCTACTTAAATAGTTATATATATATATATATATATAAAATGTGCAATAATGTGTTTTTCAAAATATTAAATATTTTATTAATGCAGTTATCACCGAGTTCTTATGACTTTTTACTTCCTGATATACAATCTGAAAATTTCAAATACTTCTATGAATAAAATATCATTCATACTTTCAAATTATTTTTAAACTATGTTTTGGTTTCTTGTTACCTTTTGTTTTCTAGATATACTGAGATGAAATAAATTAATCAAAAATAGTTATAATCACTAATTCTAAGAAGCATTAGATTTTCTATACTAAATATATGCAGTGGAAGAATATTTGGTAAATGAAGTTTTGTGAGACTGGGTCACAAGCCTGTTGAGTTCTTCTCGTAGATCTGCAGTTCGAGTGCAAGGTCGGTTGAGTTTACTAGAATAACGATTCTCCATAATTTTCAAAACGTCTAGCAAGAATGTAACATTTTTCAAAACAAACTGTCTTTCTATAGGATCTGATGTCTTTTGTAAGGCATTTTTAACATGATAAAGATGAGTCTGAAAAGTAATGCATAGGCTGTCATTTATCAAAACATGAACAGTCGGGGTATAAAGTTTCAATAGGTCATCCAGAAAGTTCAGGTACATTTTCGCAAATGCAGTGGTGTTGGCAGTAAGAGACAGCCAACAGTCATCGTAAAGATATAACTCAGCACTGTCTATGCCCATCTCTCTCAAATCATCGAGCAACTTTTTAGAATTTGCTGCATTTTGCAGATTCTGAGGACGCCACTTGTCATCATTGGCACGCAACTTAATCGCCTCCAGAAGCTTATCTTTCATTTCGGTCACCAGTCGCTCCACATGGGAACACAAGAGTTCATTCAAGACAAAAGAAAGATCGAGACCCACCTCCGACAGCGTGTCACAATGCTGTCGTGCACATGCAATGCATTCAGTGGCTGTGGAAGCACTGACTTGGGGTGTGAAAACATGCTTAGAAAAAATCTGTACAAACTGCTCCAGCTGAATTTTAGCCCACACCACAAATGCAGAAGCACAGGTTTTGTTGCCAAATGCTCGATCAAACTCCCTTCCCGTATCTGCAATGCAGGAAAAAAACACTGAACATAATTTCTTAACATAACTGGCAGTAGCACCTTCTGCCTTTTGTTGCTTCATGCTCTGTTTCAACATGGCTGAACACCGCTTAAGAAACAAACTGCAAGCTTTAGATGACTTTCCCAACTGGACAAGGACAGCAACAGCTTTTCTAGCTGCCCTGGGTCCACCATGCAAAGAGCGGTCTGGCGATACTTTCAACTCTTCAGTAAGAATATTCACCAGCTGCTTGGTGCGATTGTCAATGCGGATTTTCATGTCTCTCACAGAAGTGCTTCTGGGGAAAGCAGCACAATGGGCATTTGCTCTCTGGATCAATTCCACAGCTTTCTCAAACTCCCGCAGGGCAATACAAACATCAAGTTCTTCAGGTAATTCCATCAACCAATTCGGGATTTCCAGCTGCGAGCTCTTTTTTACAGATTCTTCTTCAAAAGGATTACTACCTTCCTCTTCAAAAGGATTTGAAGCATCTGTGGATGGTACATGATGTTCAAATGTAGATAGTTTCTTTTTTTTTGCATGGTCAATACGGGAGAGCCACTCTTTCTTTGCTGCTGCAGAAGGACACTGGAAGAGTCTAACTTCAGGGAACATCAAGACCTTGAATGCATTTTTGACACTCAATTCTTCTTTGACACTGACAACAGCCAAACCATCTAACTCATATAAAGCTTGGTACCTGAAAAAAACCAGATAAATGTGTATTAATTGTTAGTCATTATTGTTAAGTAAATTAAAAAAAAAAACTATAAAATTGTAGAGTAATTAAAAACAATAAAAATATCAATGTTAATAAATCACAGAATAACTACAGATAAACTATACATTATGAAGAAAAGAAAAGCTTTGTTACTCAGTGAAACAAAATTTCAGTTACAAATTAGAAAATGGAGAATGCAACATCATTCCGTATATTTATGTGCCTAGTTACTTTTAAGAATTAATCATAGGCTCCAGTTCTTATTAATTCACACAGATTTTTTAAAATTGCTCCTAAAAATTCTTAATAATAAAAGGTACATCACATGTGATGTGGAAAATGTATGTAATTTAAATTTTTTCCACGAAGTCACCCAATGAAATACTCAGTTAAATATCCACATCTGGTATCAAAAGCATTATTTCCATTTCTACCGTGGAATAAGCACCTTTAAATGTCTATATAATTAAAAAGTTTATTTCTGAATAATATTTCCATTTCTACCATGGAATAAGCACCTTTAAATGTCTATATAATTAAAAAGCTTATTTCTGTATAAATACACATTCTAATTCACTTTTTCAGTGAAAAGGAATTATCCCTGAATTAATTTCTGGTCACTTCTGGGATAATTATTGTTTTTAATACTCTTTTTGGTGTAAATGAAGAATATATGACTTACTCTTCACTGCAAAACAGTTAAACTAAATTATAGAAGGATTTTTCATCTTTCAGATGGAGGATACAGACAACATTTTAGATAGAAATATAAATTCATTCAATATGTTGAAGATTTATCATAATTTATTAAGTGCCCAAATACTTAGTGATGTGAAGAGTTGGGACTCAAACTGACGCCCCTGGTCGGTAGAAATCTGCTCTGGAACTCCAAATCAAGAAATCCAAACGCCTTTGCCACCGTATCAGCTGAAATATCTACCAAAGGAACGGCTTCAGGCCAGTGAGTAAATCGATCAATGCAAGTAAGAATATAGGAATATCAATTAGAAGGTAGCAATGGCCCGACCAAGTCAAGGTGCACGTGATTGAAGCAAGATGAATGCAAATTAAAATTTTTAAGTTGGCTGATGGTGTGTCTGACAATTTTAGATCTTTGGCACTCCAAGCACGAACTTGTCCAGTTGGCTATGTCCTTTTGCATGCTAGGCCATATGAAACGTTGCTGTATCAGTTTCCTCGAAGCCTTGATGCCAGGATGTGACAGACGATGTAACTGACTAAAAATGGCATGGCAAAACCCGGAGGGAACATAAGGTCGAAATCTTGAATCCTGACCATCACAATAAAGTTATTTTCCAAGTGACAGCTGCATAAGCTGCAAATAAGATTGCTGGAAGATTTGCTTTTCAAGAGGGTTTGTAGTTTTGAATCACGGTATTGTTCATCCGAAAGGGCAGCAAAGTTTATTGGCGAAGGAACGGCTAGTTCTTCAATACGAGACAAGGTGTCTGCAACAATATTCTGTGAACCCTCAATATAACCGATATCTGTTGAAAATTGCCCTATGAAGTCTAGGTGTCTCATTTGATGAGGGAGAAGCTTTATCCGAACGCTGTTGAAAAGCATAGGTTAAGCATAGGTTTGTGATCTGTGAAGATCATGAAAAAGGCATCCCTTTAGCCTATGTCAAAAATATTTGACAGCTTCACAAAATCCTAATAATTTGTGAAGTGCCGTGACCAGGATTATAACATGTTTATCGTTTTTGTTGCTTCCAACCAAAAAAGAATTTAGATGTGCTTGTATGGTTGCTGCATGAGGTAAGAAACATTAAAAAAAAATGAGCATAGCAAGAAATCTTCTAAAGTCCTTCACTGTAGATGGTTCGGGCATATCTTGGATAGCAGTGACTCCATCTGGAAGGGGTCAAACATCATCAGCGGAAATTTCATGACCAAGAAAGGATACTCTTGGTTGGCCAAAAACGCATTTGGAAGGATTAAGACCGACACCGTAACTTTGAACACATTCAAAAACTGTTCTCAAATGTGATAAGTGTTCTTGCTCTGAAAGAGGAGGCCATTAAGGCCATCATCAAAATAAGATACACAAAAGTCGAGGCCATTTAACACCTGATTCATGAAACGTTGGAACGTTTGAGCAGCATTGCATAAGCCGAAAGTCATGACCAGAAACTCAAATAGTCCAAAAGGCGTAAAACCACAGTTTTTGGAATATCAGCTGGGTTAATGGGCACTTGGTGATACACCCGCTCAAGATCAAGGGTTGTAAAAATAGTTTTTCCCTCTAAAACTTGCATACAGTCTTGCATGTGCAGGACTGGGTAACGATCAGGAATTGTAGCTGCATTTAACCGGCAATAATCACCACACGGGCGCCAGTACTATTTCGTTTCCGAACTAGATGGAGTGGACTGACTCATGAACTTTTTGAAGGATGGCAAATTCCCTGTTCCATCATGTATTGAAATTCCTCTTTGGCGGCTTTAAGCTTGTCCGAAGGTAAGCGTCTTGGTTTAGAGGCTATTGGAGGTCTGGTAGTTTCAATATAATGTAGTACATCGTGCTTGGAGTCGGAAATACTTATAACTGGGCGCGTGATTGTAGGGAATTCTCTGAGAAATTGATGCCATGGGGAGTTACCCAAAATCAGTTTAATGCTCAAATCTTGACTATTGGGAATAACTCTCGGATAAGTTAAGTTGGTTGTGGAATCTATCAAACAGTGATTCTTAAGATCGACAAACAAAGAAAATTTTTGTAAAAAGTCAGTGCCAATAATAGGATTTGAAACAGTAGCAATAATGAATGGCCATTGGAAGTTGTGGCGCAATCCTAAATCAACAGATATCGGCCAAAAGTTTGAATAGGAGTTCCATTTGCTGCATAAAGTTGTAATTTGGTAAGGTGTGTTTGTTCGTGAAAATGTGATGGAACGACAGAAACATCAGCCCCAGTGTCTACAAGAAACCTTAAGCATGAATTCTTATCGATGACGAAAAGGTGTGCAAAATTCCGACTGCTGTCGTTCACGACTTTGAGCGACAGCCCTTCTCCTTTCCCTGGTCGTTATAATGACTTGGTGGGCGGTATTTGTTTGCCTTGTTTCCAAATTTGCGATGGTAAAAACAAATACCCCGAGGAGGGCTTTCATAATGTTTCCTCAATGGGCTACGAAGTGTATTTCGACCACGTGATGTGGAGCGGTTGTGTTGAAAAGATTCATGATGGCACTAACTGAGCGACCTGTTTGGACAAATCATCAATTTGAGCCTGTAACGCCACAATACCTGGACCAAGAGCCTGCACTGCGTATATTTGCACTGGAATGGCCAACTCCTGAATTTTATCAGTGATCTCAGGTAGCTTAAGTGGCTCACTATTGGCCGGTAAAATAGCTTGCATGTTAGATGGGAATCTATTCATCCATAATGTTTTAAGAATGTTATCCATTAGGTTACTGGTAGCTAAGTCTGACATTTTAGACAGCAATTGAGAAGGCCTCATATCACCCAACTGTAAATCTTGCAACAGCTGCTTGATTTTAACTGTCTCAGATTCTTCATAAAGATAAATAAATTTTTTAAAAAAAGATTTGTATTTGTCCGTTGCCGGTGGACTCAAAATTATTTCACGAGCTGATTGCAGTACCTCAGATTCTAATGTGGTGTTCGCTGTATAAAATTGACTTTCGTCGGCAGTAATGCGACTCATTTAAGCTGCGCATCCAGTTGAATGAACCATAACAATGCGTCTCGGCGACAAAAAGGTGGTGGCTTAACTGCCACTCGTGAAGCATCATTGTTGTCACCATTTTAGATCAACCAAATATGCACAATAACAATATGTATAGAATATGTACAATAATAATATGTATAGAAAAATAATCAATATGTATATAGTGACACAGTTTCTTGGTACTTTAAATCAAAGAAATTGGCAGCTCAAATTCAGCAGACCATACATATATCCACTAAAATTAGGACAGAAATATGTTGAGTCACCGGAATGCGGCACAACGCTTGAAATCACAGGTGAAATGTCTTACTTGCATCTCGTCACACTGCATAACTTATTGTCGCTCAGAATTTTGACATACAAACTCCATATTCGTGCAACATTGAAAGTTTCATAATAAATACGGGTCACCAATTATGGTGGTAAAATTTTTTTGAGACAGATAATTACATGCTGCTTTTAATATAATAATTTAATTTGTATAATAAGCTATTTTGAACAATAATAAATAAAGCGTAGTTGGACAAGCAACTATGATAACAAAAACAGATCGTTAATCATATCAATCTTCTTCGAATTTCATATTAACAATAGAATAAACATTATTTACTTTTTTGTTGCTATGAGTTACCAGACTAGCAGCGTTGATTTGTAGTAGGCAGGTCGCCACACTAAACATGGAGACATGGAGAGAAATGGAACAACACTGTCCTTTCAGATGAATCTTGATTCTGCCTACATCTCTATGGCAGTCGTATCCCAGCCTAGTGACACTACAGTGACAGACATCATGATCCTTGCATTAGCACACTGGTCTGTCACCTGGAGTTACAGTTTGAGGTGTCATTGGATTTTATCTCAGTACTTGTTTAATACACACTGGCAGTACACTCAATAGCTGCCGCTAACTCTCTGAAATTTTGTAGTCTGTTATCAAGAATTGCCTACCATATGTTTCAACAAGACAATGTGTGACCACATGCATCGTTTATTGTTCAATAATTCTTCAGTGTCCACCAGGTAGCAGTTTGCCTTATCCTACCCATTTTCTCAATATGCCCATTAAACATGATGATTAATACACTTAGTATCAATGATTAATACACCCAACACTTTTTTTACACAGTATATAGATACACTGTCCTTAGAATGCCATAAAAATACATGCAATATAAGGTAAATTTGGGGATATGTTCTACACCTTTAAAAAATCGTACAAGATGAAAAAAATCTAAATATTTTCCCAAAAAACCATGCCAA